TACTAGAAAATAATATCAATATTATAATTTCCCATTTAACAACGTACAGCTGTCATGTAACATCATGTATTTTATTACATTTACTGAGAGTGTGAAATTATAACATTGATGTTATATTACTTTGTGTCGTCTAAAATAAGCGCTTAAGAGAAACTTTTACAATAATAATTATAATAATTACAAGATTGAGAGAGAAACAAGTTGTTCAACTAAGCTTCAAACGTGCGCACAGAGCGAGTGTAATTACAACCTGCCAAGATCTTTCAGCTCACTCGATCATCTCGCGACCTATGCGCGAACGTGGGTCACATACGCCTATTTAAGTGAACTGTTTAACAATTCAATGCCATACGGCGTATAACAAACTCGCATATACACCTTGATCAAACAAACGTCCGGAGCTGTCGCGATCACGCCCAGACCGCTCGACATTGTCGCTCGATCATTAACCGTCGCACATAAACGCATTTACATCGAGATTGCATTTCGCTAATTAATTATACAGCTACAGCTATACGGTTGACCGTGAGTCAATCATCGAGTCATGCTCGCGCGGTTGTCTCATCGGACGAATTAAAAAGCGCTGACAAAAAGATGTGTTTCTTTAACTGAAAACAAAGCGTAACAATGATATTGATCTTTTTTCTCGTTGCGTAAAAAACACGAATAACTTTGACAAGAAGATAAGCCTGTACTGATACATGCTTATTCACGCAAGCATACTTGGTAATAAAACTATAATTATCTTTTCTTAAAAAAAAAAGACTGGCATATCAACGCAATATATATACTATAATGCGCATTACTTTTTTGTGACATAACAATATAGTTTTTTTGATATTTTTTATTGCAATCACGATATATCATACTTAAGAAATAATAATATAATTTTTTTATTGAATCGTCAGAAGTTCAGTTGCACTTCAATTCAGTTTTATTGTATTTTTTTCTGTCAATATTTAAAATCTATTGTCTTGTAATGTTTGTACCTTTTAAATCCGTACAAAGTGCACAAACTTATAAATAATCCACGATTACAGGGAATCAATCAGAAATTCAATTATATTTCTTGCCGCAAGTCAAAATGTATTAGCAAAATTATTGCTGCATGCACCGGAGGACAATTTTTTTGTGGAGCATTTCGATGAAATCTTGGTAAGACATTATAATAAATAATTCGTAGTAAAAAGAAATTTAATGTGATTTGATATTGTTGCAAATAATAACGGAAATCACATTCGACGATTATAGAAAAATGCACCATGTGACATTGATGGTTTCTGTTTATATGATAATCTCTGACAATAATTAATATTAAATTTAATTTTTGAAATTTATTTGAACGGATATTGATTTAATTTAATTAATACTAAAAATCGTTAACAGCATATTTCTATAAACTGCATAGGAACTAGACGGCATACTACACAATTATTGTAAGAATTTTTGTTCCAATTGATAATATGGATAATTGTAGACTTGACTTCCGCGCGCTTCGAAATAAATATTATCGAGACGTACAATATACGCAGTGAAAAATATTTTCTATTTGTTGTTAAAATTTTATGTGAAACTTTTAGCATATCCAGGTATTAGTTTAACATATGTGACTGTGTTATTTAAATATTATGTAAAATAATATTCTACTTATACTAAATTAATATTTTTATATATCAATATTTCTCAGTGTCAAAATGACACAATTTATGAATAAATAAACAAATGATATGAAAATAATATATTTTAAAACAAAAATTTTAAGATAAGTAAAAATATTCATGTTAATTTAACGTTTCATAAATGTCAATTATACTAAAGAAATAAACTTCCATAATTTCCTTACAAGTTGTATTAATGCTACATTTTTTGTAGAAACTACATAACAATATAGTTTTTTTGATATTTTTTATTGCAATCACGATATATCATACTTAAGAAATAATAATATAATTTTTTTATTGAATCGTCAGAAGTTCAGTTGCACTTCAATTCAGTTTTATTGTATTTTTTTCTGTCAATATTTAAAATCTATTGTCTTGTAATGTTTGTACCTTTTAAATCCGTACAAAGTGCACAAACTTATAAATAATCCACGATTACAGGGAATCAATCAGAAATTCAATTATATTTCTTGCCGCAAGTCAAAATGTATTAGCAAAATTATTGCTGCATGCACCGGAGGACAATTTTTTTGTGGAGCATTTCGATGAAATCTTGGTAAGACATTATAATAAATAATTCGTAGTAAAAAGAAATTTAATGTGATTTGATATTGTTGCAAATAATAACGGAAATCACATTCGACGATTATAGAAAGATGCACCATGTGACATTGATGGTTTCTGTTTATATGATAATCTCTGACAATAATTAATATTAAATTTAATTTTTGAAATTTATTTGAACGGATATTGATTTAATTTAATTAATACTAAAAATCGTTAACAGCATATTTCTATAAACTGCATAGGAACTAGACGGCATACTACACAATTATTGTAAGAATTTTTGTTCCAATTGATAATATGGATAATTGTAGACTTGACTTCCGCGCGCTTCGAAATAAATATTATCGAGACGTACAATATACGCAGTGAAAAATATTTTCTATTTGTTGTTAAAATTTTATGTGAAACTTTTAGCATATCCGGGTATTAGTTTAACATATGTGACTGTGTTATTTAAATATTATGTAAAATAATATTCTACTTATACTAAATTAATATTTTTATATATCAATATTTCTCAGTGTCAAAATGACACAATTTATGAATAAATAAACAAATGATATGAAAATAATATATTTTAAAACAAAAATTTTAAGATAAGTAAAAATATTCATGTTAATTTAACGTTTCATAAATGTCAATTATACTAAAGAAATAAACTTCCATAATTTCCTTACAAGTTGTATTAATGCTACATTTTTTGTAGAAACTTTTTTTTACATAATTTTTGTGTTACCTATATACGTATTTATATTGCGTTAAATTAATGCATTAGATCATTTAAGACATAAGAAATTCAATACAAATTTTTTAACCACCATAAAAATAGATCGAATCTATAAATTGTACATTAAAATTCAAAGATATATTAGAAATATATTATATAGAAATAGATCAAAGTTTTACGCATCTTTGCAAGAAAAACAATCATTTAAAAAAAAAATACGTTGATTACTAGTGTAAAAATGTTTTTGTTCCGCCGAATCTGTAAAGTAGAGTTATGCGAGCAAGTTTTTTTGGAATCTAAATTTGGTAAAGAAAAAAATAAAAAAACAGACAGTAAAATAACACGCAGATGCAGTGAAGTTTGTCGATAAACCAGAATCGATTAGCCAAAAGCTAAAAAAATATTTTATTGAAGCTTTTTGTTATTTATTAATTTTACATGTAAAAATCAATAAAACGCTATTAAATTTTCCAATAAAATTACTGATTTGTTAATCAGTACGAAATCCATGATCTCTTTAATAATTAGATTGTTTACACGATTTTCTTCAGATATTAATATCTAATAAAGTTGATTGCCTATTTCATAATATAATCATGTTTCTTGGATATTTCACTGTTAAGTAAAGTTCCAATTAAAGATTAGCCTTGTTGACGCAATCGGTACATATCATGAACGATAATATTACAGTGCATTATCTTCATAATTATTAAGCTCGTTTAGTATAATAGTTTCACATTAATACGTAGTAGTTCTATATAGATTATCGATATACAACGTCGAAGATTTCACGTTTATATAATATTTACATAACAGAATAATTTTCGCGTTGCTTTAGATTATCGCCCTTTTCAAAATGAAATATCGACAACTTGTTGAAAGCTCGATATGTAACAATTTACGTGCGATTGATGTTAAAATGGTTGAAAATATCGAGATGTTTCTTTTTTTTAACACAAATAAGAGAAAGAATCCAATATTTGGTCAAAACGGATTTTGCTGCTTAACAATATTCCTTGTAAATTTTTTAATTCATTTTTCAGTTTTGCACTGTTAAATTTACAATATTAAATTATACCCACAATTTAAGTTATTCTTAATCGTTCCTATATTTTACCACTGCTTCTATTCAATACACTGTTCATTTACAATAACTCAAGAAAATGTATTAAATTTGATTAAAATTTAGTTTATTCTCTGCTAAGTACATGCATATATGATATATTAATGTGGACTTTGAAATTATAGAATAACTCGATCAATCATAGAATTAAATTAATTAGATATGATTGTTTTTTAACTACATGCATGTTTTGTATATTAAAATAAAACATTTTAAAAATAGAAAATATAAAATGTTATTAACTCAAGAAATTAGTTTAAATTTATTTGTTTAATTATATATTTAATAGTGTATAAACTACAATGATTCGATTTATCGGAGCTTCAAACGCAATCATAACTAAAGTTGGAAGTAATATTATAAATTACATTTTCTATAGTGACCCTCGGAATATTGAATATCTAATAAGGAAATTAATATGTATTACATTATTATTGAATTTATTCAGTGAGTCGCTAAAAAGAAAAGTCAATCTCAATCGTATATACGTGCAAAATCACCTTAATCATAATCTACGTGTAATTTTATACCCTCATCACGTGATATAGTTTTTCCTCGGATTCTTCCAGTCAGTCGGACTCCTTCCAGTCGATACTTCCACTGTACCTTGACCGATTCGTGACGAGAACGCGACGTGGTCAGGTCGAGTGCAGTGTCGACATTCTCTCTCGTATCAACAACGGTGCCGTTTAGACACTTTTGTGGAAATTGCGTTAATATTACGTTAAAATCCTCCGCCAATTTCAAATCCCAACAAATCGTGTTTCTCTCCCCGCGCTATGAAACCGTAATTCCAAATGTCAAACCGCGCTCGATCGTCTGATCGGCGCGTTTTCGCGATGCCCGACATATGAAACGTCCAGAAGAAGCATTCGATATTTCGTATTGCCGCGTTAGAGAACAAGCATTGTCACGTTGGCGCTACCGGAAATCGGTATGAATATTCAATCGCCGCGCGAGTTTCGCATCGCACGCTCGTAATAGGCCCGAAGTCCTCTTTTCTTTTCCTCTTTCTCTCTTCTTTTTTTTTTCCTTCGCCTGGGCGAGGATCGTCTGAATGACAGAGCGGCTGATCGAGAAGACCGCGTGCGAAAGGAGTGTCCCCGAAATATGTCGCATGATCTGAACTTCTCGTCGTCCTCGGAGCGGCCGTCGAGCGACGATGCGAGAGACGAGTATCTCGCCAGGTGGGAAATCGCGGTGCTGACCAGCATATTCCTCATCACGATCATCGGTAACATCCTGATTCTGCTAGCCCTTTACGTCCGACGATGTTATCAGAAACGGAAGTTCACCAGAATGTACTTCTTCATCATGCATCTGAGCGTGGCCGATCTGTTGACGGGCCTGCTCGACGTTCTGCCGCAGCTCGCCTGGGATATAACGTTCAGGTAAATTACTCCGCCATTCCAAAACTAACCTTATAACTTTTTTAATGAATTTTTGTTAACCAATACGTAAATTCGCATTTTGCGCCGCAGACGGCAATCAGGAAATACAAACGCATTTGTTTGACAATTACGATGTTAATCATAGGTTTGTTCGCGTCGCATACTTCAACATATTCCTACCATAGCTTCTATTAACTCCACGAGCGCGTTTGAGTGAGTAGGAGCTACGGTTGAAGGAAGTAAGAACATGTTGGAGCATGTGACGCGAACAAACCTCATGATATATGTATACTATATATATTTTGCTGCTACCGTTTCTTTTATTCATCAGTTATTTTATTTAGACCCGATTGTGTGCAGTAATATGTTACTTTGACTTTAAGCGAGACTTATAAATCGATCTTTCCCTCTTTTTAAAGCTGAGAGAGAGAGAGAGAGAGAGAATTTTAAGTTTTGCTTAAAATCAAAGTAATATTAGAGCAATATCGGGCCTTAGACTCATAAAAATAGTACTAATCCTTCACAGCTGAAAATTAGACCTAAGTTCTAAAACTCTGTTTAAAGTATAAAATGCAAGTGAATCTTTGTCATACAGTGATTAATAAAGAAACACTTAAAATTATTTTATCACAATTTAGAACCTCAATTGTACAGATTGCACCAATCGTCTAAAATTTTTGCTTCGGGTCCAAAATGATTCATTACTGTCGTTGCTGATGTAGTTGAGGGTTAAATATTAGGGTAATATAATATATTAGCAATAATTAATACGTTGAGAATGGCGAATAAGAGTCAATCTAAATCTGATAATATATTCTAATATTCTATATTGCGAAGGATATCACGTAATGTTTGGCGTTTCGTCCCGGCTTCCACTACTAGACTCATCAGTAAGGTATTGTAGTGGAAGCCTACCTTAGACGCCGGTGTAAGTTATTAAATCGAGATTCTATATAAAGAGATATACGCGTGTCTCAGCACTTGCGAGAATTTGCGAATATCGATAGACCTCTGATGGCGGGTCGACGTAGTAATATTCTTCGCAATATTTATCCAAAGTGAGAAATAACGTTCTAATTATATATAGTCCCCCCAAATAATCTGATTTTTAAATGTCCCCTCTTCTTAATTGTTGCGCGCCGAAAGATTTTTCGGTCTTGCAACGCAACTCTAATAATCTGAAATATCCCCCCTCCTAAATATTTGCGCGCCGATGGATTTTCGGTCTTGAAACGCAATTAATCTAGAAACTGTAAATTTTTACTTAATGAACAGAATTGCAATGTATTATCCGCGTTATTACAACCTGCGGTTTTGAAAACAAATAATTGAAGAAATAAAGGACTCTTTTTATAAACAATAATATATTAGACTTTCTATCTAAAATAATCTAAAATATTCTATTACTTAAATGTAGACATTTGAATTACGTGTATAATTCAAATTTGGATATTTGAAAAATTATAATACTTTGAAAAATTGGACAAAAATAGAACTAATCGCCAAATATAACAGAATTTATCGAAATTATTTCATGTATCTGCTATAAATTTAATATGTTTTATAATTACGTGATAAAAATATTACAAATTAATGTATAGTATAAATCTGTAGGGAAACAAGAAAAATAATCTTAAAATTAAATCCTTTTCAATTTTGATAATGGAACATTAATTGATTTACATACTCATACAATAGACAGGTTTTTTCGACTGTAACGATATTTTTCGCCTCGAAAAATATTTTTCAGAGTCAGCAAAAGAAATTGAAATGGATAAATAATAGACTAAATAAATAAATAAAAGAATAATAGAAAGATAAATTTAGTATTCATAGCTTTAAATTGTATGTACAGAAAAATATATGATATATACACATAATGACGGAAATGAATCAGAAATCTTTCTTGAGTTAAGTTTAATCACTGTCGCGATTGACAGCGAATAATCATCTTAAAGTTCTGAAATCAGGACAGACTTTAAGAAAAGTAGTATAAGCAGATACACCTTATATTTTCCCCAGCATAATCGTGTATATTGACACTTTGATTGATGTTAGGAAATTATATTTACCCACCAAGATATGATGTATGATAGGATTAATCCAGATTAGAGTCTCTAACGTTTTGCTTTCACAGCCCAAGAATATTATGTGCTATTTTAATCAATAACTTATCATAAAAATATGTATTTATTATTTTTTTCACAAATGTAAATTTACTAATTTCAACATAGTAATTTTGATAAATAAATCACAACCGATATATGTAATAAAAGAATAAGTTAAAAGGACAATTGTCAATTAATGAATACTATCAGTTTTTTTTTTATATTAATCTGTTAATATTAATTCTAAAAAAATTGCAGAAAATGTTATCTATTTTAGTTAAGAATCAAATCTGGATTTCTTTACTTTTGTTTTATTTTATCCAATTGATGATTGCATTTTTTAAAATATCTTTAACATATGTGGAAAGAAAGACTTTGCAAAAGTATCTATATAGATATCTGAAAATTTTTGTTGGATTATCATGAAATAATTATGTAGGAAACTTAAGTATGTTTGAGTAAACGCAAGCCATGTTGTAAAAAGTTTTGACATTTCCGCAACTGACTTTCCATCCTATACATTCAATTTAACGATTTGACAACACATTATTTTTAAATCTATATCTAATTCTTTAATGCCCAATTTCTTCACTTCTAGATAAGTTACGGATAACTTTATCCAAAAGATATTCCATTGTATTCTGGGAGATATCTTCTAGATAAAGGTTATCTAGAGGTGAAGAAATTGAGCATAAATACTGCAGCAAAAATGTTCTTTCGATAAATTTTTTAAGTAACTACAAATTTCCATGTAAAATTCTAAGAACATTCTAAAAATGTAAACTCGCAGAAATCTGTTTCAAATCTGTCATCAAGCATCGCAATATGAACTATCCGATTAAACAAAATTGACTATATGGCGGTCAGATTTCAGGGTGGTGCAGTGCTATGCAAACTGATCAAGTTCGGACAGCCATTCGGCCTATATCTCAGTTCCTATATCCTGACAGTGACCGCAATCGACAGGTATCATGCCATTTGCTATCCCTTCAGTTACTGTAGTATCACATCTCGAAGATCGAAAATGATGGTGTACGGGGCGTGGACGCTCGCCGCTATGCTGTGCGTACCGCAGGTCTGTTGAAAATTTAATTTGCTGCCTCTCCACTTTCCTTCGCACGATTCACCTTGCCACGCGCGGAGGGTGGACCTCCGGCTTAGTTGAGATATTAATTTTTATCTTATACAGACAGCGGGCGCAAATCTAATAGCGCTGAAACGCTAATTTACACAACAAAAAAATGATTTTATTGAAGTATGTAAAAATTCAGCTATATACAGATCTTTAAATAACTTTGTTGGATTATCAAAATTATATAGAAAACTCAAGCATTAAGTGCTGCTAAAAGTTTTAAATTCTCGCAGTCTACAATTTGAACAGTCTACATCATTATTATATTTTTTAATAGTCCAACAAAATTATTTTCAGAGAGATTTATATCTAACTACTTATATTTTTAAATACTTTGACAATACCGTTTTTCCATTTATCAGTATAGGTACTAATTATTTGTCCCTTATAATGTCAATGCATTTATGAGCAACAAGCAAAATATGCGCTTCGTGATATTTTTATAATTTTTAAAATTGTATATGTGTGTATCTTTGGTGCAATCATCGAACAATCATAAACATCGGTACTTTTCTTGTTGCAAATTACAAATTTCTTTCGTTCAATAATTTTAGATTTTTATATTCTCGTACATGGAAATATCGCCCGGCGTTTGGGAGTGTTGGGCCACATTCTACCTAAAATATGGCGAAAGAGCCTACATTACTTGGTAATATTCATTCATATATTTTTTTATTAAAAAAAATATCTATTCTCGTGACATTTAATAATTAATAGATTAAGCATTGTGAGATGTTTGAATTCAATTATAGGTACAGTGTTATGCAGTTCCTATTACCCTTCATAGTTCTCGTATATACCTACATGAGAATATGCATATCAATATGGAAAAGTAGTAAACTATCGGGACTCATTGATCATAAAAAGAGTAACACAGTTAGTTACTGTCAACGAAATCGAGATCCTCTTATTTCCAAAGCAATGATCAACACTGTAAAACAAATGATCATCGTGGTTACTTTATACATTGCCACCAATACTCCGTTTATCGGATGCGAGTTATGGGCAACATGGGATCCTAAAGCTTCCACCTCGCCATTTTTCACTGGTAAATATTCTATCAAAAGATAATAGTAAATAACGATATATATCATATTTATATAAATAAAAAACTATATAAAAAAATTATTATTAATTAGAAAAAATGACATTAATCATTTTCATTATCAGTGACATTAACAATTCGAAAATTTGAATTTATTCTTCTCTTAATTAAAGTATAATTAATTACAATACACATAAAACACTTGTAACAAAGTTAATTTGTTATTATGTATGTCAGCTTAATTTATATCATTATTATAGGAATGTGTTAATATGCGAAAATACAATAGATAGCGGGATCACCTGTATTTATTTTTCAGATCTAATGTTTCTCTAATATTTTCTTAAGGTATTGAATTATTTATCAATTCTTATCTCTCATTGTATGCGTTATAATTTGCAGGGGCTGCTTTCACTATTCTAAGTCTCCTAAATAGTCTCACGAGTTGCATTAATCCTTGGATTTACTTTGCATTTAACAAGGAATTACGTGCGGCGTTGACATACTTTTTTTGCAGAAAGAAAGATTATTCGTTGACTTACGGTAATCATAATTTTTCACTTCTTTCCTCTTCCCCTCCCACCTCTCTCTCTCTCTCTCTCTCTCTCTCTCTCTCACACACATGTGTATTTGTATCACATGAAATACAAACGTTATATTTATATGCTATTTTCTTCCAGATATAGATGCACGTCAGAATGCGTCAGATGTGCCCTCTTCAACATCGTCGTTTATTTCTAGAATCTCGCGACTTGCGAGTTCAAAGATATTCGGGTAAAGTGGAAATAAAACAAAGTTTGCATTTTGAGGAGGACTGTTTTGAATATAAAGAATACCGAGAAAATATAGTTGATGCATATATACATTTCGCAGGCGTGTAATGTGTTTGGTGCAACAATGTCGGGACGTGCAACTTCTTTCCGCGAGAACTACTCATTTAATAGAAATTATTTATTAAGAACCTGTTAAAAATACCTGTGAAAGACACTCTTTTATAGTAATATTTTTTAAAATACAGCCAGCAATATAGTTTAAATATCCACTGTCACGCGCGAATTTCGATCACTTGAAAATGTAGAGATAACATTCGACTTCGAATATCTCTTTTACGACTGACGAAAGCACGGCGCAATTTCAAATTTCTTTTCCCCTCGTATTTTATAATTCTTGTCGCATCTCCGCCCACGGTGCGTCATCCTTTACGATCTGTTATACTTGCACAGTTCCACCTCATTAGTATTTCCATCGGCCGGGCGTCTATTATGTTCCGATGTTTGTACTCCCATTTTTATCCCGATCATCCCAGAGACTCTCATACGTATGCTAATATTATACACCAGGTATGGACACCCTATTAAATAGCATTCTATTTAATTTCTTTTGGAGGTACAAATAACTTTTTTTTTTAAAGATTATTTTGTATTATGCAAGTGTCAAACACTGTTGAAATTTTTTCTCAAAAAATAGTCATAAATAATTAACACCAATTCTCCAACTCTGATCGTTGATCTAACTAAACAAATTATATACATAGTATGTGATGCAATAATTTCGTGTAAAAATCGTAGATGAACATTATTATAATAATTATGAAAATTAGCTTAATATATTGCAAAGAATTAATGCCTTTTATTATATTTATCAATTTTTACGAGTGTGTTATCATAACAACTTTCTAATTCTCCATTTCACATGGTACTCAAATACTCTATTAAGAACACTGTACCCGCGATATTTCGGGCAAGGCCCATATGATATTCGATACATTCCTCTCTTGGTTGCGACAAACTGAGAACCTCTGGCGCGGAACACCTGAATACTTAATAAACGGATAAAATTAACATTAATAACGACTGTCTGTGGCTGATCCACATCTTATCCGAGGACAAACGTGGCCGTTAGACCCACGTGATAAACGTCTTACGATACTTCGTCGAGAAGGGCGAACAGTCAGTTTTTCACATCGTTTCTCTTCGATACGTCGATGGGTGATATCAGGGTTAATGAGGAAGTGCCGTTTGTGCTAGATCGGGTGTCCGCGATGGAACAAAATTCGGAGGAGTATCGTGCCGAGCCAATGAAGAACGAGGTAGAAACAATCGGAATGATGCAACACTACCGCAAAAATGTAACGCCACAATATTACTTGATAATATAACTGAGCCGTTATCTATTTATTTATTTACTTCGTGCATAAATGTAGGCCATGTGAACCTTTCTAATATAAAAGATTCTTTTGTACTGTGTATTTTGGATCCGGATTTTCCAAGAAATTGTTATGTTTCATATTTTTTGAGAAACGTGTCTTTTTTCGTAAAATAAAATAATATACATTACTGCCCAAAAGTTTTACTACACTTTCTATTTATGAATATTTTGTAATGCAAAATATAAATATAGTTTGCATGCAATATGTTTAATTTATTATTACATATTTTTACTAAAATTAGAAAAAAGATGTTATTTTTTCTCAGATTTTTTTACTTCTTCAACCTTAATCTTCCTATAGGTTTTTACTAAGAAACCAAATTCTCTCTTGGCATTTTGTCGATAAGTTCTTCAAGTTTCTTAATTAAAGACTTGTGTTTAAGTCTGGCGCTTAATTTCTGCGAGAATACAATGTTGCCATTCTCTTATTGTTAGTCATTATGATATCCAAATATTTATCGGTATTTAATATAAAATTTGAAATTGATATTTATATAGATAAATATATAATACATAATATTTATATTTATATTTAAAAAATTTACTTATAATTTTCATTTATATTTTTCAGTAATTCGCAATTGAATATCTATTAAATATTTTGTGACTGAAAATAAGAGAGAGAAAGAGTATACATATTGTATTATAATAATATTTGCATATTTTATAAATAAAAAATAAAATTGTTAGCAACAACATAAAACGTATTCAACATGAAACTATTGAACGGTAGTGTATACTTTGAGTCTCATATATTTTATGTTAATTTTTAATCTTTTCATTATTCTTTAATTTAAGGACTACTAAGAAGCTTTAGGATAGTTTTAAACTTTAAAAAGTTTATCTTACAATATTTTATTCTTGAAAAATATTTTAGCGTCGCATTTATTCCCGTGTCGTGATTATTTCGATCATTTCTTACGATGGAAAGAGAATCAGCGCGTCAAGAAATTACGTTCAAGTATCGTAGAAAAAATAGCTAGAAAAAAAAAGATAAATTTATATTCCAGTCTGAAAACGAGAGTAATGATGAAGATTATGCACATTCGCCGGTATTACTAGATCTAGACGAAAACTTAAAACAGCAAAAAGCAGCGAATCGAGAAGCAAACTCGCCGAGTTGCATGGTGCATCAACAAGATCAAGGATTGGCACCAGGTATGCAAAGGAGGTATCTTGAGCTTGTATTAGAATATTCTACCTATAGAAAAAAAAAGGTATTCATTCTTATTTTGCTAAAAGATCTAAAATTTTGTTAAATACAAATCTGGAAATAATTTTGTTAAACCATCAAAATAATTACTTTGGAAATTAAAAATAATGAACAATCCTCCCAAAACTTTGATATTCTAGCAAACAGTTCCAATAAAATTGTTTTGATGGTTCAACAAAACTATTTTCATATCTATACAATTAGCAAAATTTTAGATCTTTCAGCAAAATCGTTCTTTTTATATAGTTGCTCATTTGTTAAGTCATCGGCGTAATTGCTCGATTTTTTAATACATTTTTTTTGTATTTACGATTTATATATTTACGGTTTTCGTAGATATGCATAATTAATAAAGAATATAAAATTGCATATCTATTATTTTTGGTAGACAAAACGACAAGATCGCGAATTATAAGAGATAGATGGCAAGAAACAAGCTTTGAGACGCGCGACCAGCAAAATCCTGAGGGAGTGCTCGTGATTAGAGTACCGGAACCGGAAATAATCGGTAGTCATCCGCATCTCGAGGTACTCCATGAGGCCAACATTAAATCGATGCAACGGGAGCCGTTGCAAACTGAGAAAGGTGCGGCAATGTCAAATTGCGCGTTGCCTGGTGAGATCACATCCATGATTGAAATAATCTAAGTGCCTTATAGGAACTGACCGATATCGAAGATCATATGATATAAATATTTGACAGATATGTAGATATAAATATAGAATCTGTCATAATATTTTTATCAGAGTTTAAAAACTTTTGCCACAGACCATCCCTTACTGTTGCCAATTAGGAAGGACTTTATTGTTGTTTTATAGAGATGCAAAATGTGCAAAATTCTGACTATTATATACAGAGGATAAACAAAATAATGAATATCTAGAAAATATATTGTTTTATTAATAAGAGACTAATTTTTATCATTTGTCTTTATAGCGATTCTATCCTTGGAACAGTCATACAATGCTTGAACATTCACTGAAACGTTGTATTATTCCTTTAGCAAAACTTCTTTTAGTTATTTATTATATATAAGTGACATTGGAGAAGGAAATTTGTACCTCATTTTATTTTTCAAAATTATTCTCTATTCTATAAACTGTAATGTCTTTCCTGATCAATTCAATCGCTTGATTTTAATATTATCAGATTTTAATATCATCAATTAAAGATGAGACTCTTATGTATATGACATATTACTCTTAATAAGTGATCAGAGTAATATAACTTACTAATCGTTTTTATTAAATTAATCGATTTAATGTTTCAAGACATTTTCTTTGTAGTGTTGTAAGATTTCAACATCAAATCTGTAAATTTGATGTAACTTAAACGATAAATGCAAAGGAAATATATTAAATTTATATTAGCTGAGAAAGACTCCAAAGTGAGTCGAAATGGTTTGAATTTGTTATATTGATAGAATAAATTAGTAATTTGAGGAAATTCACTTCTTATTACTTTGCGTAACAGCAACAATAACAACAACGCTGTACTTTCACTCGCCCTTTATCACTGGATTCCTGATTTAATATTATCAAATTATTGCAGTTTTAAAGAACAGAATTCCTGTTCCAAGTTACTTCTTAAGTAATTGGAAAATATTCTGTTAAAAGAATAGTATTATCCTGACTATACATTGTACGTCTCCATTTCAACAAAAATAAAATCTATAATCTAAGAACATATAATCATACAGTTTATTTTTGCGTAAACAATGACCTGGAGGCGATTTGTACATCCCAATTAAAAGTTACTATTATTAGTTACGTATTGTATATATATTATTGAATGTTCTACAATTTATTAGTATTTCAGATTATTATTATATATGAATTTACTGAATAGTTTTTTAAAAAGTAAGGAAAAATAATAGATATAGATTCTTGATCAGTAAACAGAACTAATGAAAAACTGATTGTGAACTTCATTTTTTCGATGCTTAGGTATAGTAAATCGGCTAATTATTCTCAAATTAAAGACAAATGAGCCAACCTCTTGTTAATAAAACAAATAATGTACTATAATTCTCTCGTTCGTATTATTTGGTCTATATCCTATGCCATGCTAAAGTAAAACGCAAACGTGTTAAGACTCGTTTATGATAAAAGATTGAGCCCAACGTGCGATCTGAAATTAAATTTCTTCTCGAAGTACTAGTTTCCTTACGGTAGGAAAATTAACAAAGAGGGCTGCTTAATTGTCGGACCTTCGCAGTTAGTCGCAGTTCCCTCTTGATAGCTTTCGGCAAATGTGCGCGCAGCTCTCGCTCCAGCAACATAACCCGTAGATTTTTGTCACGTGTCCGCTGTATCTGTCGCACGAGAATCGAGGGATGATGCTGCCGCTTCTCACGCGACTTATTTTCCGTCACGGCGTCCTCGTACCGGCTCGTCTCGTCCCTGTGGAGGAAGCGCAAGTACGAGACATGGCGCATGAATATCAATTCGACCGGAACGTATGCACGTATTTCGTAAAAAAGACGAGCTATTTTCGCGTCACGGCTGCATTCAATTTTAGGTGCTAGTACATTTTTATATACAGATGCGTCGCGTAACGCGTTTAAAATTATTTGGAGACGTGCGTGTCACGTAGCGTCGGACAAACTGCGTACGTAAAATCGCGAACTCAATTTGTAACTACTCGACCGGAATTTTACAAAACTCACGCCCATAAACCAGTCGTAAAATTCATAACTCTCACATTTTTATAACCAATTCTGACGCTTGCAAATTGAACGAAAATCTCAAAATATCACCTCATTTTTTATTCAATTTTTAATAATAAATCATGTGCAACGTTGCGTTTTAAACTATGTATAAATTTGCTTTGATCCTTTCCTTTAATTTTTCTCCACCTATCAACCTCTCTCTCTCTCTCTCTCTCTCTCTCTCTCTCTCTCTCTCTCTCTATCTCTCTCTCTCTCTCTCTCTCTCAATATATAATTAATTTAATTTCGATTATAAATACCGATGACAATAAGCCATTTGCGGTCAAGCTGGATATTGAATGCTTCTATTATAATTTGTATGAATTTATATATTACGTATGTAGATCCCTAAATGCGCGCCGAAATTTTTTCAGACTTACAACGCAAACTAATGAACTACCGTTGTACTACCACGAGTTAAATTAACAATTCTTTTATGCTCATATATTGCATCTTGGATCTTAATAATACGTTGAATGACATATTAAAAATCTGTAAATAATTTAAATATATTGCGAAAAATATTACCTCGGCCCGGAGTTGAATCCGGATCGCTTTACGTGTCCTAACCAATTAGACTACTGAGACTTTAATTGGATAGAACACCTACGCGTAAAGCAAGCGATCCGGGTTCGACTCCTGGCCGAGGTAATATTTTTCGCAATATATTGGAAGTACAAATTAGTTCAGACCGTTTTCCAAAAGATGATCGCCTCCCAAGACGAGTCATTTTTTCCAGATGGAATTCAAAAAATGCATGAGAGATGGGAAAAAGTAGTAGCCAGCGATGGACAATACTTTAATTAATTTGTTCATTCATTTTGTTTTGAAATAAATGCATTTTTGAACACAGAAAACGGACCGAACTAATTTGTACACCTAAATTTAAATTATTTACAGATTTTTAATATGTCATTCATATAGACTTTAATATGTCGTTCAACACATTAAGATTCAAGATGCAATAAGCATAAAAAAATTGTTAATTTAACTCGTGATAGTACTTCGGTAGTTCATTAGTTTGCGTTGTAAGTCTGAAAAAATTTCGGCGCGCATTTAGGGATCTACATACGTAGTATATAAATTCACACAAAAATTATAATAGAAGCATTCAATATCCAGCTTGACCGTAAATGGCTTATTCTCATCGGTATTTGAAATTTTACGGTCCAAATAAGAGTTTGTTTAAAACTTTAAACTGTGTATTAAAAATGACAATGTTTAACTTTCGTTAGATGTTCACTTCAAATTCTGAGGTTTTAGAATCTTTAAACAATATTCAAAAAAGTTTTAAAAATTCTGATATCTTAAAATTTTTTTAAAACTTTCAAAGAAATACCTATTATAAAAGTTTTAAAATTATTGTTTTAGACTTTCTAAACGATAAATATACCCGCCAACTATATTATATACCTATATACGTGATTCGCAATGTAGCCAATGTAGCCGTTGTTGACTCGCTTCAAGCGTATACCCCCATCAACGTCTCTCCCGCATCCGTTATGGCCTTTGCCACCCCTTGAGACACGCTTGACACGCTTGCCAAGCTGTTTGCCGGTAGGCAAGACGTAACCCGTCGCTCCCTTGGCGCCTATTCCGCCGCGTTTTCCGAGTATCTTGGCGAAAAACTGTAGAATTGTTTGGCCACCATCCTTCCACCAACTATTCCTCTTCTTCTCCTCCTGGAGCTCGACAACACGATCGCCGCAATTCTGTTTTCGGTCGACGCTCTTGCAGTTGCGCTCCACCTGGTTACGCAATTCTTGCGAATTCCATATGGTTTCCCGACGGTCATCTTCGACTTGCGGAAATTCTGCGAATTTCTCGGAATTGTTCGCAATCATTGATAGACTATCTTTTTGCCACGTTAAAAACGATGGATTGTTGGAAACCTCGATAGGTTCAGTCTCTATACAAATGTCCTGACGTCCTTCCTTATCTTCGAATATGGATATTAAACATTTTATTATAATCCCGTGTCTACTTCAATTAACATAATAATTTATTTTGTGCAATTTATTGCACGTATTATACATTATATTTTATTGTAATAACATATCCAATGTCAATTTATGAATTTATACATCCATATATTTAGTAACTTTAAAATAGAAATAGAAAAATTATTTAAAAAAATTTCTTTCACAATTATTATATTTAGTGAAATAAAATTATTTATTAATAAAATTAATAAATAAAAGTTTCTTTGTGTTTGTTCTCACCTACAGATAATGTCTTTATTCGATAAATGTGTAGTGTGTTATGTATAAATGTGTAGACTAATTTGATAATTTTTTTTCTATTTGATTTAGATTTATATTGAACGTGTGAGGACCGTTTTACATTTGTTTTCTTACTTCTTACTTTGATCAATGCCTTCGAAGCTGTTGCATGTCAGGAGCGCTATTTCGACAGAGCTCCGCTTCGCTTCCAAAGTCTTGCCGCGACGTCGAGACGTCGTTTCACGTCCAGTATTTGGACTCGTGATCGAATCTTGGATTACATAAGAGTAATTCGTGTCCACGATTCGCGGCATTACACGTATTACCATCATCTGCTTACGCGTGTGCGGCAAAGGTAATCGAAAGTACTGCGCATCGTTCAGTCGCATTCCTTGCAATATGTATAAAAGTTATTATTCCGAAAACTATTTTACGTACTTTATATATTTCACTTTCTTATTTTACTTATTTATAACTCTACAATTTACATATTTCATTTATTCGTGTATTTATTTTATTTATTCACGAATTATGCGATGTCTCTTTAACAGTGAATTACTCCGAATATATTATCGAACTTTTACTCCACTCTTATATTTAGTATCCAGAAACTTAGAAACCAAACTAAATAAATTTGATTATGCAGACTTTTGCACAAAATGCAATTACAATGCAAACTTGTCTAACGTCAACTTATTAATATACAGCAATAAAGTTAAACTAGACTTATGTGAATAACACAAATAAATAGAAGAGCGCCAAATATAAAGGTGAATTTTTGGTATCTAATAATATTTCTGTGTGAATTATTAAGTGTTTTTTTATTCTTCACTGCGCAACACAGCTGATTTTGGCTCACAGTTCTAAATTTAACAATTCACATAAATTCAAATTTATAGGCACCAACATACTCGCCCGTACTTAGCGCTTCTCTAAATGTAGATGTATACATATTTCTTTGTGTTATTAATATATAAATGTATCCCAAAAAGTGATTTCAAATGACATCTCAAATAACTACTTAATAACATCTTAATGATGTAAGTTAAGAGTCAAGAAAACATCACCTTGATATTTAAGTACGCATATAGTCTAAATAAAATGTTGATTTTAATCGATATAAATTAATTTAGCACATCCCGTTTAATGCTGTTTAAACATCTCCTAAGAAATGAAGAATACATATACACACACAGCCTGTTTTATATAAATTATGTATAAAAGAAATCAGTAGTCAAGAAACAGTTATCTCGACTCTTGAGATAGATTACGATCTTAATTACTTCAACGCATATTTGTATAATAATTCGATTTTTCTCGTGAGCTAGTGTGTGTGTGTGTATGTATGTATGTGTGTGTGTTATGTATGTATAAATGTCATAAATTATAAATAAGTATATTATAAATATAAATAAACAAGATTAATAGTGTAGTATACGCAGTTTACGGAGAAATTATAAGATCGTAAATATATATTACGAAAATATATATTTAAAGAAGGTTCTTTTTCTTTTCTTTTGTTGCTTTTATTTAATGTATATTAAATTATATATTAAATTGAATAAAATTTTACATATTATTTTCAAATCTAACCTTTACGACTTGCTTTGATGTTTGTCATTCTTAAATTTTTCTCGATTCTGTCCTAAATTTTTTTTATTTAAAAAAGACGATTGGTAAAATTTTTTATCAATTTTATTTTACAATTTGTTTCTTGTTTTGACATTTTTACAAAATAAATATCTACAATTTATATGTATTTATTGTTATTAATCATATTGGCTCTTTTGTTTTCCCACAACAGGAATATCTCTCGAATTAAAAGATGATTCTATAAATCATCGGGTGTTTCATTAATTCAACATAAAACGAACAGAAAAAAATTAAAGGAAAGATAATACTTTTAGATATTGTAACCCAAAATTATAAGAAATAATTAATTTTATTTGCAATAAATCTATAAATATATGGCTAAATTTATCAAATCTCTTCGGATTCATCCGTTTTAAACTTGAAATTTTCATAATGTATCAATATTTCTTTGTGAAAGCTAAAATACTTTTCTAAAAAGTTTGATTTTAGCTCGCCTAGCCCCGAAAAACATCCGAACCGATTCATTCAATCATTCGCGACAATACACCGACGACAACGACGACGAGTGCGCGCATATGCGAGCAAGAACAGTCATTAACTCCGACGTAATTAACGATTTCAGACTACAAGAAGTCGGCGTGCGATCGTGAACGGACCCGAATGCGCGACATGAACCGTGCATTTGAGCTGCTACGGTCGAAGCTGCCGATATGCAAGCCGCCCGGCAAGAAGCTCTCCAAAATCGAGTCGCTGCGCCACGCCATCACGTACATCAGACATCTGCAGAGTCTGTTGGAGCCACAGTACAGCTATGTACCTAGCGTACCCGACCGTGCCGGCGGCTATTACGCAGCCCAGCCGGGTCCGCCATCATTTGAGGTGCAACAACGATGGGAATCCTTGGCTTACTACCGATACGATTATCACGCGCCCTTCGCCACCCCATCACCACCGACCTTGGTATCGCCTCTGCAGCCAAGACTTCCAGTTGATCAAGACGACCGACAGTTTTCTTACGAAGCACGTCACTAGTTCGTCGATGCGAGAACAAACCCCGGAAAAAATTGATGAATGAAACTTTTTTCAAAGATTTTTTGAAAAAAGAAATAATTTTGTAATATTATGAATGATCTTTAATGCGCTTCCTTGCAAGATATTAATTCTTTTAAAAGAAAACACACATTCTTAGTTATAACATAAAATCTTTATCTTCAAAAAAATTATAAATTCATTCTAAATTTGACAACTTTTTGCTTTCTATTTAGATTTATTGCGACTTTGAAATATTTAAATATTAAAAAATTATATAAGTTGTAATTTTTAAAGCAAATATGCATTAGTAATACTCAAGAGATTAAAAATCTGTAATATTGCAAAATAAATTAATTCATTAATTTTTTTAAATTTATTAAGTTTTTCCAAGGATTATTATCGTTAATTGCAACTTCTTATTAATGAAGTAACAAACGTTTCAATTTTTGAAGGAAAAATAGGAAAGATAAGATTGCGGGAAAAAGTGCCGTTAAAACAAATATTCACATGACTTATACAAAAGAATTTATACGAGTGTGTGTTATTTAGAGAGTGGTTTGTTTATTTTTTTTAATTGCTGTGTAATATGTTATTTCTGCGAATTAGTCTTCGAAAAAACCATTACTGTGAATAGGAGCAAATGCTGATAAAGTCATAGATGCTATTACAAAATTTATCATATATATAAAAATGCTCAATAAATTATTCTAACGTTTTCCTTTATTACATAACTTTTTTATTTATGTACATAAATATACGAAAAAATATATATATATATCTTTCTCATATATAATAAATTATCATACAAAATGCAAATTGTTTTCTAAGATATATTATGGAATAACAATAATCACAAAATGCAGAATTTGCTATAATATCCTTATATTATTTTTGTAATCTATTGATTGCATTAAAATATTCTGTTACATGCACGCGCTAAATAATTCAACAAATACCAACTAATATATATATATATATCCCAGTGATAGAACAAATGAGAATGCAGCGTTGTTGCTGTTATGCAAAGTAATAAGAAGTGAATTTCCTCAGATTACTAATTTATTCCATCCAAATACCAATTTCAGTATGTTTCGACTCACTTTGGAATCTTCCTCAGCTAATACAAAATTTAATATTCTTCCTTTGTATTTATTGTAAGAGTCACATCGGATTACAGATTTGATGTTAAAATCTGAATAAATTGATAATTTGAAGAAATTCACTTCTTATTACTTTGCATAACAATGCACTCTCATTTGCCCTTTATCACTGGGATTTCTGGTTTAAATTTTTGAGAGTCCGCAAGGAAATTTAGTTATAACATTAATGTATTATTTCATACTCAACAATGTAATAAAATACATGTATTATATTACGTTTACATTGTTGAAATTATAACATTAATGTTATATTATTGTTAATATTAATTGATGTTTAATGAATATACGCATATATTTGCTATGTATGGTACCTATATGACAGTGTTGTATTTCGTCTGTTGTGGCATGTTCGGTGGAGTAGTAGTCGGATGAATATGCAATGGAAGATCCCAAATCATCGTTTCGACATCCAGAGTTGATGGTCCGTGCCAACTTATGGTATTCTCATTAGGCATGTCCATCAGTTTCGACGTTGTGACGAACTCAAAATGCAACCGCCACTTCAGTGTCACCAAATCGGTAGTAAAGTCTGGCGTAACGTGCAAAGGTATTGGTAGCACCAGGTGTGAATACTTGAGACCGAGACACATCTCATGATGCTTGTTGTAGCTGATCAATGTCGGCGTTGCGCTCTTCCCCCGTTTGTATTCCTCTGACACGTGCTCCTCCGACTGTAGAGACACTGACACCTGAACGCAAGATACAGTCGCATTCGAAAAGTCGAAGGTTCCAACAATATCTTCACCAAGTTTGTAGGAATTCTTAAAGAGGCAGAATCGCACTACGCGTCCACGGCCGTTTGTCACGTTGTAAAAGTTTGGACTGCGTCTGGCTGTTAAATTCTGTAATGTTGTTACAACACATAATTATATTACAGCACTATATAAAAATGTTTAATTAAATTTAACTAATAATTAGTAATAATAGGATGTATGGGTCTTGATGATTATGAGATATTTTCTTAATTTTTAAATAATTTAATAATTTGGAATCATGTTATGTGTGTGTGTGTGTGTGTTTTACAATCTTATTTTTCATAGTTTTATTCTATTCATGTAGATTAATTATTATTATACCACTTTATGCTATGATTAAATGACAAAATTTTTTTAATAAAATTAAAATTTTTTAAACTACTAAGACTAATAACAAAAAATTTTAATAGATCCCAAGGCGACCTATGTGTTTCTTGTTTCACAAAAAATATGCGTTCCTATGTTACAAATTAAATACAAAAATAATATACAACCTGCAATGTTTGTAAAGCAATATCTAGTGGGGTTTCCCTATGTTGCGTTTCCATAAACGGATTGTTTGGACTCAGATCCACACTATCGTTGCATGCTGTTATCTCTGGTAATTCTATAAAGTAATACATGAATTATATTTTATATCATAGAGGTATTGCCATATAATGATATTTTCCAGTCTTTTAAATTATTTACCGCTTAAAGAAAGTACTCTGAATGGTACTCGTAAAAGTTTTATAACTGTATTCACTCTTTGTGTTCCAATTGTAATCTTATAAGAATATTTTACAGCTTGTCCTCTGTATGAAGGTGGAGCGTTACTTGGTATTGTTTCACGATAAATATCTGTTTACAAAAGAGTTTAGTGAAAATGAAGAAAATGTGAAAAGAATTATTAAATATAGGAATGAACCATAATTATAAATACAAAAACTTCTCAAATAAAAAAAACCTATTTTTGGTCAAAGCTGATCTTGATGTTTAATAATATTCATATGTAGATTTACAAATACATTTTTCAGTTCTATAAAGATAAAAACAGAATTATTTCTTTTATTTGTGATTTATTCTTATCTAACTAATATTTAATTACAAAAATTTAATCAGAACACTAATGAAACTTACAAGTCTTACTTTCTCCAGGTGACAGTCTTAAATCACAACATAAAATTTTTGGTTTTGTATTCAGCACTACATGTCCATTATCCTGTTGCCATGGTGCAAAGGTAGTATCTACGAAGTCGTAATAAATGTAGTATATAACAAGTACAAAAAAAAACCAAGATATTTTTTTTTAATTCATACTTGCGTTAATTGCTACTGAACGAGCTGTAGTATTTATTTTCTCTAAAAGTACCATTTTACTATTCGTTGTACACTGGCAATGGACTTGTGCACTTGCCCATGCAAGACTCTCGAATAGATCACTGTAAAAAAGCAATTAATGTTATGAACAATAGTTGATTACTAACAGCACTGTCATCTTCTTACCTATGACTTTGTGATATTTGATGATTTGGGTTCGGAGGATTAGTAAACGTCACCAAACATTCTACAATCTCTCCAGAAAAATACACAGGACCTCGAACGAGTTTTGCCGTGATTTCTATCATGCTGGCAATCTTTCAGAATGAAACACTAAATATACTTTTTAATTATAAATATAAAATAACATAATAATTTTATTATCAGGATTCAATGTCTTGTTATCAAAATTCTTGTTATAAATCACATACATTCATATAATATAATTCAATTGTCTACATCTTTAAATTAAATCAAAATATGCGTATTGTACATACGTATACGTCAGTTTACTTCGAATTTCATTCCTATTTAATTTCTAATTCATGGGATAAATGTTCAAAGATAAATGTTCAAGATATTTCATTAATATCAGAGAGAAACCTGAGAGCGGCCATGGAGGCCTTTTTCTTGTAATGCTTCTAACCACTCATTGTAACTACTTCTAACTCCCCGTACATTAGCGTCATCAACGTCCATTTTCGAGCTGCGGGAACTACGTACCACGTCCACTTTCGTGACCCGCCGTCTCGCCGATAAAATTGTATCGTCGAAAGTGGACGTGGCTCGGGTCGGTGTTAAATCAGATAAAGAAGATTTGCTCCACGGACTTGACGTGATTTGCTCAGTATGAGTGACAGAGTGAGCGCGACAGCTCGATACGTTCTTTTCTCGTTCGGCAACCTTTGACGCATCGAGAGAGAGCGAGACAGCGAGACTCTACGTCACGATCGTCCCGTCCTTCTCGCTCGGTCGCTTGATCTGTAATATATGTACACTTCCTGTTCATGCCATATACGGCTATCCGCGTGCGCTGAGTGAGTTCTTGGTCTTCTTAGAGTCCCTATACTAAGAGTCTGGCCATGAAGGAAGATATAAGGAGACTCCATTCAGTCTCACCAGTCTACAAAACATGGACCCATTTTAGGTTTCGAGTTCAGTTTCCGATTCTTGACACTCGCAGCGCTCGTGAATTTAGTAGTGCTGCGCATAATGAGTGCGAGTAAGAGAAATGATCATTTCTCTTACTCGCACTCATCAGAATCGGAAACTGAACTCGAAACCTAAAATGGATCCACTTTTATTTTACGGAGTGGAGTCTCCTTATATCTTACTTCCTGAGTCTGGCCAAGGTCTAGTTCTTTGGTCTAGTTCGACAAAACATGGCGTCGTCGTACATAACCAAAAACGTGATGTGATCATGGACATAGAAATATAGGGACAGAGCATTAGCTCCGAAGATAGGCGAGGGGGGTTATTCTGAAATGCGGGGGGAGTACATGCCTAAATTTTATTGGCTACAGCTATGCGCATGCTCAGTATCGTGTAACATCGACTTAGCGGCCAATCGCAAATAAATGATCGAAACAAAATGATAAAAATTTGTTGTTAAAAAATTAATTGTAACCCATTACCAATAAGATTAACAAAATAAAACAATAATTAGAAATCTGAGAAGGAATTATATAGAAGTTCTAATGAGAAAAATAAAAATATGTGCGCATATTCAATATTAAACAATTACTATTTATTTGGTACTTTTATTCACTATGAAAAAATTTACTAAATTTTAATAAATATTTCTTTGAATAGTTCCAGCGAAACATTTAATAAATTTAAAGACGTATTTATTAGATCTAAGAATCATTAGTTTGAATCAACTATCATTTTTTTCATTTATCTAAATATTTATTTACCATAAGTAAATATTCCATTAGGACACTTCAAAGAAATATTTATTAAAATTTAACACCACAAATTTTTTTCTTAGTGTAGATAAAAAAAATACAAATTAGGATTTTAGATTTATATAGATGGATTATATAATACTACGTAGAATAAAAATTATAGAATTGAATTTTTCCATAACATGTGATATTGCTTGAAAATGTGAAACCAAAATTTGTTGTACTCTTCTCGAGAGTAACATTTATAAAAAAAAAAACGTATTAAAATAAATTAATAATAATAATAATCCAAGGCAATATACGTATTAAAATACTTAAAAGCTATGCAGAATAAAAGGAACAGAGAACAGAGTATAATAAAAAAAATACATAAATTACAATGTAATTTTACGATTTTTGTTCACACTGCTTGTCCATTTCCAATTTTAAATGTCGGATCTATTTCTACAATTCGGTACATAACATTGCACTATTTTAATTTCAAGATATTATGTGAGAGCTAAGCCGAGAAAAAATGTCAGGACTTCACCGGTGCTGAGACTTGAACCCGGTTAGAGGTTAGAGTTGCACGCACATATATCATACTTGTCACTTGCGCATGCGTACAATAACAGCCAATCAGACTTAGGCATGTATTACCTCGAGCACCGTCCCGGCAGTGGCTTCCCCCCCGCAACGTTATGCTCTGTCCCTATATTTCTATGTCCGCGGATGTGATCGATGTGGTACTGCACTATTCGATAAAATAATGAAACGGTATATTATATTTCGCATAAAAATTGATTGCAACAAAGGACGATTACTTTATATATTAAAATAAGCAGGGAATGGAAGTAACTCGTTACTTGTAACGAAGTTACAGTTACAAGTTACTTTTTTGGTAACTTTACTGGTAACTGCGTTACTTTCTTTTTTTGGTAACTGTAACGGTAACGAGTTACATTTTTTGGGTAACGGTAACGAAATTTACAGTTACTTT